TTGCCCTGGTTTACCTGCTAAAGAACAAGGCCGAGGGACTTTGCTTTGTTCAGATGACAGAGGCTCATAGGATCCTATGGCTTAGGACCTACCTGAGCATAATCTACTTTGCTTAGATGCATACGAGTTGGCCTCTCCACTTTTGCATATAGCCATGCTAACTGTCTTATGTTGTAGGAAGTATTTTGATGTGTAGCACTTACCTCAACTGATGCTACAAAGAACCATTTGTCGCCTAACTAAGGCTGCACCTAGTTTGGAATAGCATAGGAGCCATGGTGATGGATGCGAGACTTTGTTGATCTGTGTGGTGTAGATATTAACAAAGGGTGATGAATTATCACTTAGTTGATCTGAGCCCTAAAATACCTTGGATTGTCAGTTGATCTAAGATATTTCAGATGCTGTTATTGTTCTTGTAGGAGTTCCTATTTGGTCGATGATGCAAACTATAGTAATCTGAGGTGGCTGTGGGTATTCTTCCTGTTGGTGCTTTATTATCTTCTTATGTTTTCTCATGTCTTTCATTAAACCGTGGGATACGTCCATTCCCAAGCAACTGTTGTAGGCATGCCTACCGGATGGCTGGGATGGACGTGTCCCACGCTTTCATGGGAGTCATGAACTTGCCTTAGCAATTTGTGTTCTTATTTGCCACCTGGGATGATTGCAGTTTACATTAGCTGAGGCCTATGTTTTTTGTGCTTATGATGTCAACCATTTTTTTGACTGAGGCTGATACAATTGTGAGATCCTTTTCATGCCTATGAAGATAACGGTGCCAGTTTGAGTAATAGATTATGCACATTGATGACCTTGGACTTGTGAGGTATTGAAGCATTGTTTCTTCTATCTTTTGCTTATGCTTCTCATGGCTGTCATCAAACCATGTGAGACATCCATGCCCAAGCAACAGCTGGGCGGTTCTGATGATTTGATGGCTGGGCTGGATGTCTCTCATGGTTTCATGCCTATCATGATCTTAGTTTTCTACTATCTGTTTGAGGTTTGTTGTTGTCTATGTTTCTTAAGCTCTAAGTTCAAGGTCAAATGAAAAGGCAATTAAATCTGAGGCAAATCGACTGAACTACCCCTCATCTTATCAACATCTTATACTTGATTTTATGTGTTTTAAGGGGCAAATGGCTTGATATGTTGTGTACCGTGACAGAGTTCCTGGGATATATGCAACCTGGGCTAGATGCAATGCCCAGGTAACTGGTTTTAAAAACAACAGCTACAAGAGCTTCTCTAAAAAAAAAAAAGAGGCAGAAGCATCATACTTAGAATTCATGGGTTGTGGAGATGATAAAGTTTTTGTCAATCCTCCACCAAAGATGCTCAGGAACAAACCGGTGTTATTTGTTGTAGCTGTGATGCAGTCTTTTCTATTGCTGATGCTCCTGTGGTTCGTTCTTGCTTGTTGCTACAACTATCTGTGATGCTCAAAATGCCATGGCTTGGTATGTTGCCTATCGAAGAAAGAAGCCTGGGGTCTATGCCCTAAAATGCCTTCTTGCAGTGCTTCGGGCAACCAATGAAGCCCTAAAATACCTTAGTTACTGGCTATTGCTTTGGTCCGATCGTTTATTTTGATGATGTTTAACTTTTTCATTGCTAAGCATTGTTGTAGGTGCCTCTAATTGTTTCATATTGCCTGTGATGGTTTCAAAATGCCATGAACACGTGTAAAGACAATGACCTTGTGAGGAACTGTGACTTTTGTTGTTCATGATTTGCTGGGAGTACTATTGTTATGTTTATGTCATTAGAAGCTGGGGTCATTGTCAATACCAAGCTTGTTAAACTGAGGCAGAGTTATCTCTATTTCCTTCTATTCTTCTTCATTCTGCAATAGCTGGTGGTAACCACACTAAACTCATACATGGGTACTCAGACCTAGGGCAATGCGGCCAACCAACCAAGACCTGTAATCACCAGTTCATACACCGAAACGGTGCAAACGGGGAACCAAACACGATGCAGGTCATCCGGTATCCTGTACTCGGATGCAACCAAACACACCCACTTGCATGCTTTCATCATGGCTGGAAAGAGCCTGCACAGGACCCCCATCTCGGATCACCAATGCCGGAGCAACCAATCATGCCCATAGTACAGGATCTGGCCCCAAAGCATACTCCCTCTAATACAGTCCAGGATTTACCATGCGCGCGGGGCTAGGAACAGTGACATTTTCAATTGGTGATACAATCGGAACAAAAAATGAGTGCAAACAAAAATTCTAATGGCTGATAAACTGGCGCTGAGACAGAGACCTTGCAATCCAGTATGTTCGCTTTATGATCAGGAAGCGGAGATGGTTGTCAATCTTTGCCTTCACTATCCCTTTGCAAAAAAGTCTGGATGCTCGTTAAAAGTTGGGTTGGAGAAGATATTTGTCATGTTTGTTTTAACTTATCAGCCGTACCGTTTTAGTAAAATAATAATGTTTTTCTCTCACAACAAATCAGCATCAGCATTAGCATCAGCCGTTTTTCCAGCCAACCGAACAGGGCCATTGTGGACATCGATGACGGGGTGCAGACTATGCAAGTTTGGTGCGAGATGTCTATGCATGGGAGATCAATATCTCGGCAAAAAGAACGTCAGCCATCTTGATGTACTCGGCATGGAATATCTGGAAAGAACGCAATCAGAGAACTTTTGAGGGGTCAACGCGAACACCGGCCCAGGTGTTGGGGCTGATCAAGGAAGAGCTGGGAATTTTAAGTAGAGCAATAGATAAACTAGATCGAGTCACTTTTATTTTCTTATTATAGCTTTTTGTGTTCGAGTGAACATCGGAACGTAAGCCTTATATGCCCTAAACTGACTTTGCTTCCTTCTTATATGATATAGCATTGCTCCTGCTAATCTTTCAAAAAAATGCAAGCGAAGAATCAGCCAGTGTTTTAGGACTAAAATCCAAAGTCCATTGACAAGGCATTAGTGGAGGAAACTTTGGCGAATTAGCGTGCACAGAGCAATTCTACTGGTAAACTTAAATTAAACTAGGAGAGCAGGTATACGTACAAGTGCAGCCACCAAAATCAAGAAACAAAGAAAGAAAAAGAAAAAAAATAAGAGAAAAAGAAAATTTTGCACAAGAGACTGAAGCCATAACTCGAACAAAGGGAGATGAGCAAGATTCACCGTCGGTCCCTGAACTTCACGGGGTGTCATTTAGGTCCCTGAGCTTCTAAAGTGATATATGTGGATCCCTAAACTTGGTAGACAGTGTCATCTAGGTCCCTAAACTTTTAAGGTGATCACCGCAGGTCTCTAAATTTAGCTGACGGTGTCATCCCGGTCTCTAAACTTTCAAGGTATTCACCGTAGGTCCCTAAACTTGACAAGCAATGTCATCCATGTCCAAATATAATAATATTAAAAGTTATATATAGTATTAAAAATATTTTGTATTAAAAGTAACTTCTAATTTTAGTATTATTTTGAAAGTCTTAATAGTATTATTGTAGAAGTAACTTTTCTTTGTTATTAATACTATAACATTATTATTAAAACTTTTAATACTATAATACTATTATTAAAAGTTCTAATACTATAATACTACTATTAAAAGTAGTATAGTATTATAGTATTATAATATTATAGTATTAATAATAGAGAAAATTTACTTCTATAATACTACTATTAAAATTTTAAAATAATACTAAAATTAGAAGTAGTTTTTAATAGAGAAAACTTTTAATACTACAGGAATTTAATATTATTTTAATACTATGAATGATACATAAATATTAAATTAATTTTAGTATTTTTATACTTTAGTTTAAACCTAATATATTTGTTGTTGTAAAATATTTTGATACTTTAATTTATTTTTTGCTGATGTAATTATTTTATATAATTTATATTTTCATGATAAATATTAGATAAATAATGATTGATTAATTGACACATGTTGATCCACGCCATCTTATAGAGTAGGTTAGACCATATTTGACAGGGATGATACCGTTTGTCAAGTTTATGAACCTACGGTGATCACCTTGAAAGTTCAGACACCGGGATAACACCACCGGCTAAGTTTAGGGACCTGCGGTGATCACCTTAAAAATTCAGGGACCTAGAGTTTAGGAACCGGGATGACACCACCGACCAAGTTTAGGAACCTGCGATGATCACCTTGAAAGTTCAGGGACCTGGATGACACCGTCTGCCAAATTTAGGGACCCACAAATATCACTTTAGAAGTCTAGAGACCTGGATAACACCGCCGGCCAAGTTTAGGGACCGACGGTGAATTTTGCTCAAGGGAGATGGACTAAACTTCTTTTGACCCTACACGGACAATTCTTTGAAAGAAGGTGATTGGATGCAAGCAATTCTTTAAAAGGAGTTGCTTGGATTCAAGCAAGTTGGCAGGCTTCCTTCTGAAGATGAGTTTATTTCTAGCTGACCAAACTGTCCAGCAGATTAGAACTATCACATTCACGACGAAGCGGGAGCCTAGCTGATCTGTGGCTGTATCAACTGCCTGCTGTGCATCACAACCGTATTTAAGGCTCATCACCAGGAGATACCAACAGTTTTTGGCAAACCTGCACCCCGAGTTGAGCAATCATGCAGAATAAGAGCGATCATGCAAAGAATGAGCGCATGACAGCATCACTAGGTCTCATCAACCAATCCAAGTCAGGTATCGTATCATATTATCAGAGTCAGTGTATGCATGTATATATCTATATATATATATAATTAGGTAGTATGGAGTTTATTCCATTTCTAGCAACCAACCATGGAGTAATATCAGACTGGCCTAATAATCGCACAGTAATGTTTAAAAAAACAAATGGATGATGAGATGTAACCCCCAACTCCTCCCTCTATATACATGAAGAAACATGGCCCATCGCAGCATCACAAAATAATTAGATGACTGACATGATGAGTTATTAATTATGGTAGTATAGTCTGTCGCTGCTCAATTTGCTGCTTGCTACTACTGCAAGATGGATGGATGGATGGGTGATTCATTTGTTGTAGTGGCGTGATCCAGCATAGCCGTATGGGTTCTTGCTTGCCCAGTTCCACAGATCTCTGCACATCTCCTCGATCCCATACTTTGCCCTGCAAGTTTTCATATTGTTTTCGTTAAGGATTGGGAGATGACATCGACCAGCACCAGCAGCATATAAACCACAACTAGCAAGCATACTTACTTCCATTTGAGCTCTTTCTCTGCCTTGGCAGTTGCGGCATAGACGATCTCTGCGTCTCCAGGTCTTTGCCCAGTAAGCATCAAAGGGATTTTATGTACAGAATCAGCCAATCTAACAATCAGTTGGATGAACAAAAGATCCATATGTTGGCGAACATATATGCATGCACTATGGTTCAAGTAAGCTACCTTGCCAGGAACCTTCTCGAATGTTGCCACCATTTCTAACACCGATGTCCCCTTTCCTGTCCCCAGGTTGTATACTTCACACCCTACATGCATTACAACCAACCAATAGATGAGCATCGCATCATTAGCCAGCTTTAGCTGATTGCTTGAATATACAACAGCTGAGTTGTCCATGAAGTTTAGAATCAACAATTGGTAATCAACCTAGTTTGTTGGATTCTTCATAGAGCTTCATCAGGGCTGCTATGTGGCCATCAGCCAGGCCAACAACATGGATGTAATAACACACCTGGCAGTTTTTTTAACAGGAAAATATATATCAGTAATGAGCTGAGTTTCTAGACTATATAACAGAATGAACATGGACCAAACTATTCAAAAACCCTCCATAAATCACATCATCCCCTGACCCTGCTCCTAATGTTCGCACTGAACACATATATTAGAACAACATATTATTAGATAATAGATAGATATGGTTCTTGATTGTTTCAGAAATATATCTTCTAGAACTTTTAGCTAGATAGATAGCACATCTCATGGAGGCAAAACTCAGCAGCTCAGATCAATTAGCAAACCAAGAGAGGAGCAACTATCTGGGATGGTTACCTGAGAAGGATAGTGATGGTCACCTAAGGATGCAAGGCGACAACTTCATGAGAGCTCGTGTGGTTCAATCAGTGGGAGGAGCAACAAGCAGCAGCGGTCAGAGGGCGAGGTTCTGATAAGTCGACCTTGTGCTGTTTCACAGGTTGAATGATTATATCCCCAATAAAGTATAGTATTGACTCCTAACTACTCTTAGCTTTTGCGGCCAAACTTATGAGCCATGACCTAAACATGCAGGCTATGTTGCACATGATAACAAATAGCCTGTTCTCATGTGAACTGCACACACATCGAGAAGTTTTCACACACATGACCAAAAAGTACAGCCACACTCATGATAGTAATTTAATATGTCTATCCATTTGTTTGATCAACCAAGATTCATCAAGGTCATTGCACGCAATTAGGATTTAGGACCATTAACGCCAAGGTTGGAAGAATGGAAGTAGTTAAATAATAGAGTTTGTAGGAAAAGAAAACATTCTTTAGAACAAAATGACTAAATGAGCAATTAATCCAAGTAAGCTTGCACATCCCAACTGAAAAAAACAAGGAATCTATGCATCGATATCTACCCAGGTCAGGAATCTTAGATGTCTTCAAATCCAAGTTGACATGTTGATCCCATTAGTAATATAATCCTGGTCCCAAGTTGAAATCACTAGAAAAGGCAGGATACCATGAAGGGAAGAGAGTCATAAACATAAGTATGAGAATCATAACCAAAAGTATGACATAACATAATACTTGTCAAAGTACCATGTCACTTTGAATGCTCAGATTTGCCCCAGTATCAACACAATATTTGTAGAAGCACCATGTACTCCCTCCCTCTCTATATGACCTAAGTAGTAACGTTCATTCGAATATATACAACATACTACACCACCACCACAGCTGCAATGGCAACAATTAGTTGCAAACTGGATACTTGTTATGGTCAAACCCATCCTAGTTTGGCAGCATTTCGAGCAAAATAATAAAGCAAACAATTCACGATGTTGCAAAGTAATAGCTCTATAGGGTTGGGGCGTCTGATCATCAGACACTGAAGAACAGTACCAAACAAGAAAGGAAGGTAAATAGACAGGCGACAAAAAAACATCAGAAAAAACAAAGAAATGTATAGGAACTACCAAAATGGATCAATGCTGCACCCTGCACGGCTATAATAGTTGCGATGGTCTCCTAAGTTCAAAGTCATCCAGCTTCAACTGGAGGAGTACATGATCATCCAGCTTCAACATCTCCTGAAATTACTGCAATAAATTCTGGGATGAACAAAGTTAACTGAAACTATCCGTCATGCAAACCAAAGACAATGCAAACACTGATAGCAGAATCAATGGCAAAAATTAGGAAACATTTCAACCAACAAATCAACAAAATTCAAATGTGAATACATAGCGTTAAGACAAACGCAACAAAAGAAAAAAAAGGATCTTTTTGAATACACATGTTAGATAACAAAACATGAAAAACGTCCTCATCATCATCTGATCACCAGATCAACTTGTTTTGACAAGTGAACCTGCCCTGGTTATCACCCATGAAGAATGGCATGACCATCCAAGGACAAAGCCACTATCGTTAGAACATAATTGAAAAGGCTTCCAAGAGAAGAAGAAGATTCCAGTTTGGTTCCCATAGCAGCCTTGATTGCTCAAAGGCGCTTATGTCAGCCATGGTTGTTGATCATTGCCCAAGATGAGAATAAATTTTATTTTCTTCATTCTTAAGGGGCACTTTGGTAGGAACTTATGAGATGGAACTAACTTGGCATATTATTAGTCCCACTAACAATGACCTAGGTCCTAGGTTCAAATCCAGCAGGAAGGCAAGTGAAGAACAACCCCTAGAGCAAACATAATAGAAGGGACCAGCTCAGAAGATGCTAGAGTGCAGAAGTTCTCTAATGGAAAGTTTCATCATAGCCACTGAAGATGAAAGCTCTAGTTTGGTTTTGGTGAATTGATGAAACCCTAAGTGCTAACCTAGTTTATCAAGTGATCATGAGATAGGTAGCACACTCCAAGTGGTGAAGCAAATAAAGATCATAGCATGATAAAGATGATGGCATGGTGATGATCAAGTGCTTCGACTTGGAAAGAAGAAAGAGAAAAACAAAAAGCTCAAGGCAAAGGTATAATTTGTAAGAGCTATTTTGTTTTAGTGATAAAGACACTTAGAGAGTGTGGTCACATTTAGGATTGATAGCCGTACTATTAAGAGGGGTGAAACTCGTATCAAAATGCGGTTATCAAAGTGCCACTAGATGCTCTAACTCATTGCATATGCATTTAGGATCTAGTGGAGTGCTAACACCCTTGATAATATTTGTGTAAATATGCTACCACATGTGCACAAGGTGCTACCACATTCGGCGCTTTCGGGAAAATGAAATGTCTATTTTTCTATTACGCCGGATGCAAAATTCTTGGTGGTTGGCACACTTGAGCAAGGGTGAAGAAGTAAGAGTTGAAATGGAGTTGATCGAAATGATGCTGGCGTCGGTCTACTGACCGGACGCTGGGTCACTCAGCGACCGGACGCTGAAAGGCTGCGTCCGGTCGAGCTGTCAGACGGCACAGTGGCTAGGGTTGAGCACCGGACGCTGGCTGCGTTCGGTCAAGGTGGACCGGACGCGTGGCGTCGGTCCAGTGACCGGACGCTGAATCCAGAAGCACCGGACGCTGACTGCCTGCGTCCGGTCGCGCTGACTCGGCGGTACAGTGGCTAGGGTATACCACCGGACGCTGGCTGAGTCCGGTCAAGGTGGACCGGACGTGTCCGGTCGAAAAAACATGCCTCGAGGAGCTTACTGGAAACGACCGGACGCTGGGGCTTCAGCGTCCGGTCAGTTTTACCGGAGCGTCCGGTCAGCTTCGCGACCGTTGAAATCTGACGAACATCATTTGAAGCAGGGGACACGTGGCGTGAATCACGTGACCGGACGCTGAGGGCCAGCGTCCGGTCGATCGGACCGGAGCGTCCGGTCACCCCGCGTTGTGCCCCATGGCCGGCTCTATTTGATTGGGGCTCTATTTATAGCCCCATGGCCGGCTCAAGGGAGCACTCTTGCACATTTTCATTGACATAGCAACCTTGTGAGCCTAGCTAAAGGACTCCCACTCATCTACATCATTGATTCATCATCATAGTGAGATTGGGAGTGGATCCAAGTGCATTGCTTGAGTGATTGCATCTAGAGACACATGGTGATTGTGTTTCGCTGTGGATTTCGCTTGTTACTCTTGGTGGTTGCCGCCACCTAGACGGCTTGGAGCAGCAAGGATCGTTGAGTGGAGGAGGTGATTGTCTCTGACTCCGATCGTGGTGATTGTGAGGGGTTTTTAACCTTTCCCCGGCGGAGCGCCAAAAGGTACTCTAGTAAATTGCTTGTGGCTTGTGTGATCCTCATCTTGTGTTGGTTGTGCGGCACCCTATTGAGGGTTTGGCGAGTGATGCCAATCAGCGTGTGAACCTCCAAGTGAGTGAATCGCCACAACGAGGACTAGCTTGCCGGCAAGCAAGTGAACCTCGGTAAAAATCATTGTGTTCATCATTTGATTCCGAGGTGATTGGTCTACATTGGTATTCATTATTGTGATTGATTGGTTCCTACCACTACACGGCGGTATAACTCTCTTGCTCACTCTTACATTACCGCAAACTAGTTATCAAGCTCTTTAGTGTAGCTAGTTGTGAGAGCTTATTTGTTTGATTAGTGTTGCTCTTTAGTTAGTCTTTGAGAGCACACTAATTTAGCTAAGTGTCATAGCTATTGTGTGGACATACACTATTCGAAATAGAATTGTGGTAGGTGGCTTGCATTTTAGTAGGCTAGCGCAACACTCGCTTCGCCGCAAAGTTGTCTAACACATTTTGTTAAGTGTTGTTGTAGAAATTTTTATTAGGCTATTCACCCCCCTCTAGCCATTAGGACCTTTAAGAAGAGTAGTACAAAACAAAAAAGGAAGTCATAACTCACAAGGCATCATGATATAAACCATAAAAATCTTTTGTAAACTTGCTTGGGACTGAAAGGCTATGTTGTTGTTGTTGTTGAAACACCAGAAAAAAGTGAAACATGTCCCACATGTTTGCAGAAAGAATGGTGGGAGAGGAGACAAGAGGATGTAGTTTCATGCCTGTTTGGAACGCAGATTTCCCCATATGTTCTCCAAACCACCACGCTGGCAGCCCAATCCACCAACCATAGCCTAAATGAACCCCCAACTCAATTCCCACCCCCTTGCTGCTGCCACTGACCCACTGGCGGCTGCTCAAGAGTCTCCGTGCCAATGTGTCATGACACAGAAAAGGAGGCCCTAGAGAAGTGGAGGTCCCAGGTGGCTGTTGGCTAGGTGGATGGACCAGTACCAACAGACAACAGTGCAGCTGGCATCACTACCATCAGCGCCATACTAGAACCCATTCCTAGTGGCCTGTTTGGCAGAGCTCCACCACTGAAAAAGTGAATCTAGATCTCAGATTCACCATGGAGCAGCTCCACCATGGATCTAAATGGTGATCGGTCGGTCACTTTTCATTTAGCCATTATT